TTGCGTGACATACCTCAGCTCCTTCTAAGACTTCTATGGTTGGTCCAGGAAACTGGTCATTGATGGTAATAATTGTCTTGTTATAACCGTCCGCTGTATGGACGTTATCCAATGGCACTGTAATGTTAGGGACAGTCCTTGGAAATGTGATAAAATCCTTAATTGTAAGACTTCAATAATAATAACGAAGTCAACCGGCAAAACAGTCACAACATTTGACGGCAACTATGAAAGATTCTTGGTTGGGAATGATTAAATAAACAGAAATAAAACAATGAATGAAAGAGATAATGAAAATCTCACTATTGGATGAATATATGTACAAATGGAACGATCGACGATGGATATTGAATGGCAATAGACTTATAGACTTGTAGACGTATTCTTTATGCATGAGTAATATTGAGTTTGATAGCGTGGGTGGGTAGAAGGTGAAACATGTATCAAAACTCCCTACAGGAACACATGGTGGGGACTTCAACCAGGATTGACCTGACCAAAGCATATATATTATGTTATTTTTTAATGTTTGTTTTATAATCGTCAAGTAGATGAGAACCAACTTATCAGAGCTAAAAACTTGACCAATGTAAACATTTATTGAATGAAAGYACTGTTTGTGATCTTTTTGTCATCCAGGTCAACGAGTTCTGAGAACGATTCAGCCTTTCATTATATGACATAACAGAAAAACTTAATAAATGTTTAGAATTAGTAATTGCTGTACCTGTGAAAGGAGGTTTCTTGTAGTTTTAACACACCATCATCGTCGACTCTTACTTGATACGCGTGATCAACATCAAGTCTGTACATCATGCTTCTTGTTTCACGAATATCAAACTCGTATTCACAAATCGACTTGGTGCATATCTCACCTGTGCCTGGACATACTCCGAATATAAATAACAACGCTATTATCAGGCAAGAAAAGTTAATGCACGAGGTCATAATGTTGTTATGCTGGTAATTAGTGCATTTAATTATTGCATAAGTTATAGCAGGCGCAATGCCTCGTGACATAAACAAACACGTGTTGTGCCTTTAATCCGGACATTCGCGTGAAAAGCTACCGGGAGCACAGGCTCTTTGTCAGTGGTTCTTCTGTAACGACCCCTCCCTCCCCCTATATTTTACCGTTAGATTTTAAAGATTTTGTATGAGTTTAAAGTCAACCAAATCATCTGAAACTTCGCCAGGGAATTGTTGCAGACATTAATAGCAGGATGTGTGAGTTTTGTGTGATTTCGTTGCAATCTAAGTGAGAAATTCACGATTCAATAACATCATTCAAAATCATAAAAACAACGTTAAAATGATTAATGATGACAAAAGTGGTTTTCTGGGATTCACGTTTGCAAGCTCGCACGCAAGGGGGACGATCCATATGATCAAAAAACCATCAAGCGAGTCTTTTGAAATGTGAAAGAACACCTAGAAATATCAAACAGAGCAAAAATATATATACTTTTTATATCGAGCACACAAAAAGGCCGGTATCACTCAGCAGTTAGAACAGGAGAAAATATCGCGCATAAAAAAACTCGCTACAACCCCCTTATTCCCTTTCTTTCAATTTCTTCTCCACCTTCCTTCTCTTTTGCACTCACGGGGCTTATCCTCATTCGTGCTGAGAACATTGAACTCTTTGGAGGGTCGTGAAGGGGATATGTGTTCCCATTCCCTATACTGTACTATACACTCACTTCACCCTACTCCTAAATGAACATCAATATCAAATCACACAAGATATTGCCAGAGTTTTCAATTGTATACTTTAAGAGGTTTAACGACTTAAGCCGTAGCCCGTAGAGTGAGATCATGTTGACAGAAGAAGGTTGTAGTGCGGTCGCCGCTCACAGAGGAACGGAAAACATTGACCGATCACACATGTGTCTGGAGTTATCTGGTGCATCATAGGTGTGTTGGGTGCTAATTGTCCTTCATGCCAGCACGAGTGCTGAATCATTGCGAAAGACGCAGCTCGACGCGCTCTCAAGTCGAAGTGCTGTATTACAGACACATTTTCATACACTTACACATAGGCGTGCTGCCGGCTAAGCGCTTCCTTTATATAGCAACGTCGACTGAAAGCGGAACACAGCAGATAGAAATGGTTCGTTTTACTGAGGGAGGAAAAACCGGGAAAAACCCTCGAAACAAGGGAGAGAACGTAAGAAACTAAAATCACATATGACGCCCTGACCGAGATTCGAACATAGCCTGCGTAGCGGCCCTAAGGGGATTGGGGAGGGCCGGCCGAGCGGGGAGTGGGGCCGGCCCTCCCCAATCCCCTTAGGGCCGCTACGCAGGCTATTCGAACAGGGTCCACAGAGGTGACAGGTCATCGCTCTCACCGCTCGGTCACCCTTGCTTCGCCACCCTTGACCCTACTGCTCGATACGCGAAGTGCCACGATTTTCTCTTGTTCCAATTAGTTGCTTCCAAACRAAGCGCAGGCAAACAAACAATTAAACCAACCAAACCAAACAATCAAACCTGAAAATAATGCGCGCTGGCGTAATTTTCAACTATTTAACAAGGCTCATGCATTAGCTGGAGATTGAAATTACTCTTTGGGCTGCCTGTGGCAGGCGAAAGCGTCAGCGGTAATACACCCACGAGCACAACATGGCTGACTCTTGTGCGATAAACATAGCCCATGCATTTTGATCAAAAACCATTTTTGGGCATTTTGGTGTGCTATAGCCCATGGATTTTGATCAAAAATCGACCATTTTTTTCCATTTTGGTGGGATATAGGCAATGCCTTTTGATCGAAAATCGACCTAGTTTTTGCCAATTTTGGTGGACTGTTTTTGATCAAAAGGCATTGGCTATAGCCCACCAAAATGGAAAAAATGGTCGATTTTTGATCAAAATTCATGGGCTATATTAGTATAGCCCACCAAAATGCCCAAAAATGGTCGTGATTTTTCATGAAAATGCATGGACTATAGCACCAAAAATTTTTCCAAATTAGTTTGCCGTCTACGTAGAATTAGTTTGCCGTCTCCATAATTAGTTTGCCGTCTACAAAATTAGTTTGCCGTCTACAGAATTGGTTTGCCATCTCCATAATTAGTTTACCGTCAACAGAATTAGTTTGCCGTCTACAGAATTAGTTTGCCGTCTACAGAATTAGTTTGCCGTCCACAGAATTAGTTTGCCGTCCACAGAATTAGTTTGCCGTCTCCAAAATTAGTTTGCCATCTTCCGAATTAATTTGCCGTCCACAGAATTAGTTTGCCGGAACAAATTTATGTTTGACTTTTAAAGAATTTATATTTGCCGTCACAAAGTTAACCTTGACTTCTATAGAATTAGTTTGCCGTTGACAAATTAGTTTGCCGTACAAAAGAACAATATTTGTCATCATAAAATAAAAGTTGACGATCCGCCGTATTACATTTGCCATCAAAAAATCAAGTTTGCCGTCAAAGTTGTATGTTTGCCAGCGTAAAATGGTTTGCCACCTTAAGATGAGGGCGGGTAATCTTCGAGTTACGCGCTTCGAGTTACGCGCTTTTCGAGTTACGCGCTCGACCACGCCCACATTTGTCTCGGTCACGCCCAGCGCATAACTCGATGCAACTAGCATACATTAGTTTCTTCGAGTTACGCGCCTAGTGCTGTTAGTAGATTTAAACAAGACGTACATATTGGTGTACGTGATATTCCAATTTATCTTTCTATCAAAGGTCGAATGATAGACGACCCTTACATCATAGAAGTATCTATTCCACCCGGG